AATTTGGTGTTATTGTCACTTACATTTTTATGTGAATTTCGTGTGTGGTTGATTTGATAATTTCCTTGGAATTAAATTCATTATGGAATTCTTATCTGCAAATAATTATTAATATATTTATCAAAATTTTGGATTAAAGAAGGCGTTGTCCTATGTTGAGTTACTTTTCCATCTCTGTTATTGTTTTGAGGTTTTATATACGTTGTGCGGATCCTTGGGCTATTTGTTGAGAAATTGGTTGTGGTCATGGAAAAATTGTGATATGAATTGTTGTATTGTGCTGTCACTTAAACACTCTCCTTGATGTTATTTATGCTTCCTACCTTGCTTATTAATGATATATATGTGCTTGGTAAGGAAAAGTGTAAAGCATGAAGGGTGATGCCGTGCCATTTGATTTATATTATCATGCGAGGGAGAGTGTAAAGCACGAAGGGTGATGCCGTGCCATTGAGAGTGTAAAGCACGAAGGGTGATGCCATGCCATTGAGAGTGTAAAGCACGAAGGGTGATGTCGTGCCATTGAGAGTGTAAAGCACGAAGGGTGATGCCATGCCATTGAGAGTGTAAAAGCACGAAGGGTGATGCCATGCCCTTTTATTTATATTATCAGGTGAGGATGAGAGTAAAAGCACAAAGGGTGATGTCGTGCCATTATTTTTATATTATTATATTTTAATGGCACGAAGGTTGTTTCCGTGCAGGCGAGGATAAGAGACATACATTATATTGTGATATCTTTTCATTGTGTATTTATTCAGACCTTTATCTTGAGATGTTATTGTGCACCTAGGTTTTCTATGTGACTTGTAGTCGTTGTTGCTTACTGTGTGCCTCCCACCTTATTTTTTTTATTGTTATTGACTTTTCTCCCACCTAGTTGGTATTGTTATATGTATGCACGGTGAGAAAGAGATAAATGCACGAAGGGTGTTGTCGTGCTAATTGATTTGATCTATATTGAAATTGGGAGCCTGTGGCTATTGCCAGGCGGATTATGTTATATGGGATCGGGTTGTAAGCCGCAACATGTATGAAATGTGGGCACGAGGTGCCAGGGAAAATATGATGATGATATTGGCACGTGAGTTGTCCGTGCGATTGTGATAGAGATATTGGCACGAGGTGCCGTGGAAATATGAAAGTGGGCTGAGACCCGTATTTAATGATTATGAGATGAGGTGTCACAAGGTGACTTTTATTTGAAGGATATTATTTGAAAGAATTATATTTGAAGGATATTTAATTGAAAGAAGTATGTTCAAAATATATTTATTGGAAAGGATTATATTCTAGAGATTTATATTGAAAAACTTATAGATGAAAGATGTATATTTTGAAGGACTTGATTATTGATTGTACTTGTGTTCATTACCTGTTTGAGCAATATTAATAGTGTTCTTGTTTCCCTGCTGTGTATATCACTGGTTGATTAGTATTGCCATTATTGTTATTTGTTTCCTACTATTTTTATGTACTAAATTGCACATGTTATTAGACTAGTGAGTGTCTTGACTGTACCTCGTCACTACTCCGCTAAGGTTAGTTTTGATACTTACTGGGTACCGACTGTGGTGTACTCATACTATACTTCTGCACATTTTTGTGCAGAGCCAGGTATTGAAGATATCGGACTCAGGCAAAGTTAGAGCGTGATCGCAAGGATTCAAGGTAGAGCTACTTGGTTGTCACAGTCCCTTGGAGTCTTTCCATTTTATGGTAATGTTAATTATTAATCAAACAGTATTGAGTATTCGATCCTTGAGATCATTTCATGTATTAAGTTAGAGTTCGTGACTCAGTATTACCAGTCTTGGGAGGTTGTTTGTGAATATTTCCGCTGTTGGTTTTGACACCTGTATTGAATAAAAAAAATGTGGCTTGAATTGTAATTATAATCGGCTTACTTAGTCTTAGAGACTAAGTGTCATCACGAAGCCCGTGGTGGGATTTTGGGTCATGAAAAAAATATAACAGGGATATACATATAAACTATCAATTTTCCCCTTTCTGATGATGACAAACTTATAATTTAAGTTCCTCATAAGAACCAGAATGACATTCGCAATTCCTGTATTCCTCCCTTAATCTGTTCCCATCCTGTTCCTCAATTATTTTTCCCCCTTTTGGCAATCATAAAAAGATTAGTAGCAGGCCTTAAGCAAAAAAGAAGTCTAGCTTTAGTTAACTCATGCCCCATGTGTGCACACAATCATGACTAAAACAGAGCAAAAGAGAAAAGCATACAGAGCAAAATGATGAAACTTTCATTAATTTTTGATAATTAAGCAGGGAGTAGTTCCATTATTTCTAAACACATCCACAAAATAAAAATAACAAAAATAGAAGTACCAGTCATAAACATCATCAGAACTAAAACAGAAAATAGACACTAAGAACATGACACTAGAAAGGGTACATTTTCTAAGGAGCATCGGAAGGGGAAGGATCAGAGGAAGAGGCAAATGTTTTGAGAAGGAGGTCCATTTGAGCATTAGCTGACATCTGCTCATTGAGTNAGGAGGTCCATTCGAGCATTAGCTAACATCTGCTCATTGAGCAGTTTCTCCTTCAGGTCCTCAACCTGGTTCCTGAGGTCAGCATTTTCCTTGGTCAGACGGGCAACCTCTGTGCTTTGAGAGCTGCTGGAACCAGGTGCCTCCTGAAGCTGACTTAGCTGATCCTCGAGAATGACATTCCTTGCCTTCAGCTTCCTTATCTCAGCAGTGGCACTGTTTTGGGCGTTGATCAACTGGGATATAGTAGAAGTACTGCCGACCCCTCCAGCCTTTTCAATGCATTCACATTCCTCTAGGGAGGTCTTGGAGAATGTTTGCTTGCTGGTACCCACCTTAGCTTGTCCCAAAGGGACTTTGAAGAACTCAAACACCTTAGTAGGAAGGAACCCGTAAGGCAGCCCATGATTACCATCTTTAAACTCTGCTCGTTTCTACACGTGTTCTATCATGATGCCAGGCAGGTTGATAGTTATGTAACTATTCAGTGCTTCCATGAGAACCAGGTCCGGGTGAGATATAATGGATCTTCTCTCTGCATGAGGGAGCAAGACTTTGTTCACCATTTCAAACAACAATTGGTACACTAGAAGGAGGCCTTCTTCTGTACCCGTTCCCCTTGCTGAACTGTTGTATCCTTCAAGATAACATTTCTAAAGTGCGAAGAGCAGGTTCCCTAAATAGAAAACAAAACCTCAGTGGGCACTCCTAAAATACTTCCCAGCACAGCAGAGTCCATAATAAAATCAATACCATTCACCATCATACAAATGTGATCGTCCTTAACTTTAAAGAAGTCGGCATAAAAGCTGCGCACTTCTTCTTCATATACTTTGGGACTGTCACCTGTGAACATGTGTGTCCACTATTGAAATTCACAGATCTCCACCAATTGACGCATGCCAACCATATCCAGAATATTAGGGGCAAATGTACTGCCCCACAATATTTTTTGATTTTTCAATTTTGCCTTCCAAGCATCCTGGGTATCATCAACCTTGGCCCTTTTGGACGAACCAGTTTCCTCACTGGCATTACCCTTCCTTTTCACTGATTTTCGAGCACTCTTTCCTTTCTCAGCAAATTTCCTAGACACCATTTGAGCAGACTCTTTTTCAACAGACTCTTTTTCAACAGACTCGTCACCAGAATCTTCAACAAGTTTTTCACTAGATTTTGCACCTTCGACATAGCTCACACCTATCTTACTCACTGATGACTCTTTCTTTGATGCAGGAACACCAAGTTTCTTCGAGGACTTATGAACCAAAGAATCAGGTTCCTTTTCCTCCTCTCATCAAGCGCAAAACCTAGTGCAGGAGTCACTGCCTTTCCCCCTTTCACCAATCTCCTTGTCTTCTTTTCTGCTTTATTTTTCTTCAGAACAGACTCAAGTTCCTCCTTATTTTGCAACCTCGTGATGGACCTCTTAGAAACTCACCCTTGGGAGGTGCCTTTCTACTCCAAGCACTAATAAATCTGGCCAGAGCCACATTATCATAATCTTCTTCTTCACTATCCTCCTTCTCCTTCTCAGACAGGGATCGTATTTCAGGAACAACTATGGACAAAGGCTCAGCGTAGAAGTGAGGAGAGGGAGTAGGATCAATACTGACCTGGGGTGACTAAGAGGAACCAGGAGTTGGCTCCTCTTAGGTGGTGGGATCAGGTCCCTCAGTTGGTCCTCTAGTAGTACTGTCCGGTGCTGATGATTCAGACATACCTTCTCCACCCCAATATCACTTCCCTCAGCAACTATTGACAACATATTTTCTGTGGTCTCTTTTTCTTGTAACCCTATGGTAAACTCAGAAGTAGGAGGAGTATTACCTGTAGAATCAAAACCAGGGGTTGTCACTGCCGATTCAGCATGGATAACACCCGCATCTTGTTCCTTGGCAAAACTTTCTTCCCCAGGTAGACTAGAAACTTGTGAATCTTCTTCTCTCTCTACAGTATCCTGCTCGACCATTGCTTCAGGCGAGCCAGACGGAGAGGTCACAGCCACAAATATTTTGGGAGTCGATACTGATTTAGGGTTTGGACTGGTCGGAGTAGGGAGTGTTTGCTCTAACACTAGTGCTTCAACGGGTGAAGACACAGTGGGGACGATGACTGGAGCACTTTGGGCTTCCTGATTTTCAGTCATGATAGAGTTTAGTGAGTTGAAGAAGAAGGTGTTTGGTTTGAAGAATGAAAAAGAGGGATTTTGGATTTTTGATATGGATATTTGTGAGAGTGACTGTGACAAGAATTTTTTAATAGGGGTAAGGGACCGGTTAGGAATAGGTGGCAATTTGGGTAGTCGGGCGCTTCATAAAGGGTTGAGACGACCGGGTTCAAAAAGCAGGAAAGAAAAGAAACTGACAATTTGATGATATGGCATTGTTTTAGCCGTTTAAAAATTATGCATGAGAGTACAGAGAAACTACTAACCTGTGTCGAGGGAACCAGGTTCCCTGACAATTTTTGCAAATGAAAGCCTCATCTTTTGACCAACGTGTAATGCATTAGATGCTTCTTTGCTCTGTAATCATCATGCGTGTCTACCTGTAACAGTATAGAGATGAGTTAGACTTTGCCAGGAAATATTTTTTATCTATCTTACCTGTACGTTCGTAGCCAATCATCGAGTGACCAGGTCCTCAGCTTCATTTCATCAACCCTAGTGCCAGGCGATTCTTTTCAAAATTCTCTCTGCTCAGTACTTTGGTGAAGATATCTGCAATTTGATCTTTTGTGCTGCAGAACTTCATGTATATGTGCCCTTTCTCAACATTGTCTCTGAGGAAATGATGTCGCACATCAATATGCTTTGTTCTCTTATGTTGAACTGGATTTTTTGCCATGTTGAGAGCACTAGTGTTATCACACAGTAAGGGCACACAATCAGAGAACATACCAAAATCTTCTAGCTGCTGCTTGATCCACAACAGTTGAGCACAGCAAGAGGCACTTGCCACATACTCAGCTTTAGCAGTTGAAAGAGCCACTGAGTTCTGTTTTCTTGTGCCCCATGAGATTAGACACGACCCCAGAATCTGTACCATGCCAGAAGTGCTTTTTCTGTCCACCAGATAACCAGCATAGTCAGCATCAGCATGCCCTATTAAGTCAAAGTTATCTTCGGAGGGATAGTAGAGAACCAAGTCTTGTGTTCCCTTGAGATATCTTAGAATTCTCTTTGCAGCCTTCAGACGAGACTCCTTTGGATTGGACTGAAACCTGGCACGTAGTCCCACTCTGAAGATAATGTCTGGCTTACTTGCTATAAGATACAGAAGTGACCCAATAATGCCTCTATACATGGTCTCGTTTACAAGAGAACCAGGTTCATCCATGTCTAGACGAGTGGCTGTGGCAATGAGAGTATCAATTATTTTTGATCCTTCCATATCAAATCTCTTCAGCAACTCCTTGATGTACTTCTGCTGACTCATCATTGTCCCCTTGGGAGTTTGCTTCACTTGTAAACCCAAGAAAAAATTCAGTTCCCCCATTATGCTCATTTCAAACTCACTCCCCATGAGTTTTGCAAATTCCTCACACAGAGAATCATTTGTTGCTCCAAAAATGATGTCATCAACATAGACTTGAACAATGAGCAGGTTCCTTCCTCGTTTCTTCAGAAAAAGGGTGTTGTCAATTTTTCCTCTTGCAAAACTATTTTCTAGAAGAAATTTTGATAACCTTTCATACCAAGTGCGAGGAGCCTGCTTTAGCCAATACAGAGCCTTGTCTAGTTTAAGGACATGCTTAGGATGCTCATGATTCTCAAATCTAGGTGGTTACTTGACGAAGACCTCTTCCTTTAGAAAACCATTCAGAAATTCACTCTTGAATCCATTAGGAACAATTTGAATTCCATATGGGATGAAAAGGCAATGAGAATTATGATAGCTCGAGCAACTGGAGAAAAAGTTTCATCATAGTGAATCCCTTCTTCTTAATTGTAGCCTTGAACTACTAGCCTTGCCTTGTTCCTTGTTATGTTTCCAAACTCATCAAGTTTGTTTCTGAATACCCACTTGGTTCCTATAACAGTTCGGTCTGCAGGTCGTGGAACCAGGTGCCACACACTGGTTCTCTCAAATTGATGAAGCTCTTCTTGCATAGTTGTAATCCAGTATGCATATTTCAATGCTTCCTTGATATTTTTGGGCTTTATTTGAGAGAGAAAGGCTGAGAAGGCAAGTGAGCTTGTTGTCTTTGATATGGTTTGAATGCCTGAATCAAGAGGAGTGATTACGTTTTCAAGGGGGTGTAAACTTTTGTGCTTCCAGTTAGACACTTGAACCTCATTGTGAGAAGGTCCAGGTATTTCTGACTATGAACCTTGATTGCTTCTCATCTCAGCATGTGTGGTGCTTTGGACAACATTGACAACTCCGTTCTTAGCTTCAATTAGTGTGATTGAGGGAGCAGGTTCCTCTCCATCAGTTGGAGATATGGTTGTACCATTCTCATTTGAATCTTTGACATGGATCATCATATCAGCCTTTCCATTTGTCATGTCAATAACTCCACCGGGGACAGTTGACTGTTCTCCGTCTTGATCACTCTTATGATGTAAATCCTTTCCACATAATGGTGAGATTCATCAAAGATCACTTGTATGTTTTCCTCAACACATTGAATTCTTTTATTATATACTTTCTAGGCTTTGCTTTGTGATGAATAGCCCAGAAAGATTCCTTCATCGCTTTATGCATCGAATTTTCCAAGTGCTTCATTTCCATTGTTGAGGAAAAAATATTTACAGCCAAATGTTCTTAAATGTGTCAGCTTGGGCTTCCTTCCGTTCAGCAGTTCATATGGCGTTTTGTTCAGAAGGGACCTAATCATGCACTTGTTCACCAAGTAGCATGCAGTGTTGACTGCTTCTGCCCAGAAACCTTTTGCAATGCCACTATCAATCACCATTGTTATTGACATGTCTTCAAGAGTCCTATTCTTCCTCTCCACAATACCATTTTCTTGAGGTGTTCTTGGAGCTGAAAAATTGTGAGTGATGCCATTTTCAGCACATAATTCGTCGAATTTGGCATTATCAAATTTTGTCCCATGGTCAGACCTGATACATACTGCATTATGGCTCATCTTCACCTGGATCTTCTTTACAAATGCCACAGACACTTGAAAGGTTTCATCCTTGGTTCTGAGAAACAGAGTCCAGGTGAATCTGGAATAGTCGTCCACTATAATAAAGATGTACTTCTTTCCTCCTCTACTTGGCACTCTCATAGGTCCACATAGATCCATATGGAGGAGATCAAGTGTCCTTGAGGTGCTAACTTCCTTTTTGGGCTTGAAAGAGGATCTGACTTACTTTTCTTTTACACATGCATCACATATCTTGTGATCCTTGAAGCTTGACTTGGGCAGACCACGAACCAGGTCCTTCCTGACCAATTTGTTCAGCAATGTGAAACTTGCATGACCCAGCCTTCTGTGCCATAGTTCAACATCATCATCAACAACACTCAGACAGCTAAAATCCCCATTTTGCAAGGACTCAAAGTCAGCAACGTAGATATTTTTGTATCGTTTGGCCACTAACACCACTTCACCAGTCACAAGGTTAGTGACTGTGCATATCTTAGATATAAATTCCACTTTGTTTCCCTTATCACAGATTTGGGAAACACTCAGCAAGCTATATTTCAACCCGTTCACGTAGCACACATTTTCAATTGAGTGAGAGAGAGACTTCCCAATCTTTTCAACTCCCAGAATGTATCCCTTCTTGACATTTTCAAAGGATACACTCCCTCCCTGTAGGGCCTTCAGTGAAAGGAAATCATTTGTACTTCCAGTCATATTCTTTGAGCAGCCTCTATCCATGTACCATTGTTGGCTGCTCCCTTTCACTGCTCCCTGCACAAGAAAATCAAGAGTTAGACTTAGGAACCCAAATAAGTTTGGGTCCCTTGTAATGAAGAAAAGGGTGAATGAGGGCTCTTATGGTCCAAGCAGGCATCACACGTTTTTTATATGAAGGACCAGGTTCTCTAGTAGTAGTTACTTTTTCAGCAAAAACTTTATTTTTCTGTTGAGACTGAAATCTGGCTTTATAGTTTTCCTTATAGTGCCTAATGGTACCACAGTAAGTGCGGAGCTAGTTATTAAGTACAGTAATGTATTTGCTACTAGGGCTGTAGGGAATCTTTTCCCTTTGGAACCCGATTCCTTGCCTGTTTCACCCATTGTTTGTATACATAGCAGTGACTACATCAGAGGACCAGGTCCACTTAAGAGATTTTTGTAGGTCACTCTTTACTTTACCTAGATCTTCCTGAAGTTGTATGTTTTTCTCAAGCTCGGCATATAGACTAGATTTTACTGATTTTAACTCATTTTCAAGCTTAAGGTGTGCCTCACTTGCAACTTTCTTTCCTTTTTGAGTATTCCCAGGCCTACTCTCCCTTTTTAGTTCCTTAATTGTTTCCTTTAGATCTTCAACCACTACTAATAGGTCATCTCTCTCATGCTCAATGTTAGCAACTCTCTCAGTTAAAACTTTTTTCTCCTTTTTAACACACTCAATGGTCTCTTTTAGATCAACCAAAACAACCACTAGATCATCTATCTCATGTTCTATGTTTGCAATTTTTCCAGTTAAGGCATTTTTTTTCTTTCTTCAGACTCTCAATGGTTTCCTTTAAGTCTACCACAATGACTACTAGATCATCTCTCGACTGTTCTGCTTCTCCTAGTTCAATAGTTAAGGCATCTTTATCATTTATAAGACTACGATAAGCATCAATTAAAATATTTGCCAAAGATATAAGTTTTTTTGGAGAATAAGACTTTAGATTTCTTTGAACATCTAGAAAGTTTACCTCATCATTATCATCGTCATCTTCATCATCTTCAGATTTTGCCATCAGGGCAAAGATTGAGTCATACTCAGCTGCTTCACTTTCCACTGCCATCATGGAGCTATCACCTTGATCATCATCTTCTTCTGATTCACTGGAAGAGTCTCCCCATGCAGCAAGAGCTTGTTTCACAATATTGTCAGCGACATCTTTTCTCTTGAATCATTTGTCAGGAACCGGGTTCCTCTTAGCTGCTCTATCATTGTTGTGTTTGTACTGATCTTGCTTTAGGAGAGGAAAATCCTTGATGAAGTGTCCTGGCTTACCGCACATATGACATAGGTCATCACCTTTTGGCTTGCTGGAGCTACACCTTTTTGGAATGCCTCCATTTCTGCGAACCATTCTCTGAAACCTTTTTGTCATGTAGGCCATATCAGCATCGTCACCACCTAAGTCATTGTTGTCCGTCTTGAGGACCGGGTTCTTCTCCCTTTTGGGCTCTCTTCTCTCGATATCCTTTTTTTCTTTATCTCATAAGTCTTCAGATTGCCGACAAGTTCATCAATGGTCAGCTCCTCCAAATCCTTTGCCTCCGTGATAGCATTTACTTTGCTTTCCCAGGAACCAGGTAATACACTAAGTATCTTTCTGATGAGTTTGTTCGCGGGAATGATCTCTCCAAGATAGTGGAGCTCATTGATGATAGATGTGAAGTGAGTGTGCATATCCTGAATGGACTCATTGTCCTTCATCCTGAAAAGCTCATACTCTGTGGTTAGCATGTCAATCTTGGACTGCTTTACCTATGTTATCCCTTCATGAGCTGTTTGGAGAGCTTCCCAGATGTCCTTAGCAGATTGACATGCTTCCCAGATGTCCTTAGCAGACGAGGATTTTCTTAGCTCGAAAGTTCTTTTCAATAGCCTTGCGGTCAGCATCATTATATTCCTTTCTAGTTTTAGGAATTGTCACTGCGGGGTCTCCAATGGTCTTCTTAGGAAAGAAGGGTCCATCGCAGATGATATCCCAGAGCTCTGAGTCTTCAGCCATGATGAAGTTGTGCATCCTTATCTTCCACCATCCATAGTATTGTCCGTTGAATCTTGGTGGTCTGTAGGTAGACTGACCTTCTTCGAAGTTTGGCGGAGCAGCCGTGAGGATCCTTTCTAGGTGTTAGCCTGATAGAAAGAACCTACTCTGATATCAATTGATAGAAACTAAGGATCCACCGAACTATATAGAGAACCAGGTTCTCTATTAGTTCTCACAGAACACACACACACATACTGCAGTAAGTAAATGACACAATGGAGTTTTATGTGAAAAACTCTCAGCTCACGTGATCAAAAACTACGACCTACCCTTGTAGGATTTCAACTTCACTACTGAGCAAACTTTAGATTACAACTTATTATTACCTAGGAATTAACCTCTTAATCCCTCACTAACTTGTAACAACTCTATTACAAGCAAATTTGTAATAACTCTATTACAAAGACTTACAATTCGACTAACTCTAGCCAAGACACAAACACAAGGGTTTATGATTTACAAAGATTTCCTACACAATGCTTCTAACTAAGCTAAGTAGGAATTACAAGTAGAGTGCTTTAACAAAGGTACAACACAACTAAGGACATGTAATAACTCGATACAGGGAACTGGTCCGTTGTTAT